GTGAGTTAGTAGCTCCTTTAGTGTTGGCTTGTCCTCCATTGTTTCTGTGTACAAGAACACGCCCCCGCACTTCTTAATAGAATTAATGTGAGGGATTATGTTTTAATGTAATGTACAAAGGAATTGGAAAAGAATTTTAAAACATTATTATGATAATTATTAAAAATTAAAAAATAAGCAGCTGCTACTGACTATAATCAAGGTATACTAAATATAATGGACTCTTGCTTGAACAAAGAAATTAAAAAACAATGAAAAACATCATAATAATAACTAAACTATGAGCAGCTGCTATCATTCTTTTAAGACTGGATACCAAGTTCTTTTTCTAGGTTAGCTTTTGCTTTGCCCAGTTGATCAGGAAAGTTATCACAAAGTTGTATCAATGCGTCCCAAGTGAAGTTTTTATTGGCTTTAGACCACTTCTGAAATACCATAATAAGATTAATCATTGCTTGACCCGGTATTTGCATCAGATCAGTCACATCTACGTTCAATCCAGCCCCTATTAGCATGTATTGGTCAGCAGAAGAACCAAATATCCTTAAGAATGCTGCACTGTTGAGCTCTGGGATCCCTATGAATATTAATAGAAGATAAGTATTGATTGGATCATCATGCAATACAGTAATTATGGAGGGGGTTAAATTTGGCGAATTTGGCATTTTGATAGCCATTCGCCAAATTGAAAAGCCACCAATCACCAAAATTAGCAATTCACCAAATTTTAGTCCCTCCAAAATTTCCCGCTATAAGGTATATGATTTTTAATAATAATTAGGATATAATTTAACGATCAAGAGACATACCTTTGGTCTCCTGTGGAGAAGCACAGCCTTTCACGTCAGATACACTTCTTTGTGGAGTAGTAAGCTCCTTGAGGCCTGAGGATATATGAATATTTAAATTAATGAAAAATACTTGAATGTACAGTTTAACAACATACCTTTAGCTTCCTGTGGAGAGCCAGTGCTTCCAGTCTCAGATACACTTCTTTGTGGAGGAGTACCTTTAATATTAATACATTAAACTAGTATCAATGAATAATGCTTTGTTTTGTAGGTATGAATTTTAAAAATACAATGTAATTAATATAAAATAAGGATAGATCGGATGATCTGTACATCAATACACAATTAAACAACATACATTTACTATCAATTTCCTCATCAACACGTCTACGTTTACATCGTGGAGAACCAGAGCTCTTTGTCTCTGAACCATGTCTTTGCACAGTACCTTTATATTAAAATTATATTAAACCTTTATGTTAATATTTTATATTGGTATATCAGCTATGGAATATAATAATAATAACCAATAATAATAACTTACTTAGTCTCGTGCCCTGCCCCTTCACTTTTGGAGTGTTTGGTGTATCAGCTGTGGAACAAATAATAATAATAATATTAATAATAATAATAATAATAATAATAATAATAATAATAATAATAATAATAATAATAATAACAATAATAACAATAACAACTTACTACCAAGCCAGGAATTCCACACTATCTTCTCATCAAATTTATATATTTTTTCTGTTTTAGTGCATTTGAAGATCCTCCGCTCCTCATTAACTATTACTGTGTGCTTCTCCACCTTAGCCACACCTCCTCCGGCAGGACCAAGCTCACACGAACAATAAAACCGGATCTCAGGATTCCTATGACTCTCACTGAGATTGTGTTTATCAGCTGCAGAAGTGATCGCTTCTCTTACATCTTTCTTTACACTGCATTCAATGCTTCGATCCTCACAATGGACTTCAATACAATTGATCTGTTCAACTAGAACAACACGATACCACGACTCCTCATGAATCATTTTGATGTAATTTGAGAAATTGTCAATGTTTGTCGAAGCAATTTCGTAGCAAGGGCTGGAAAGAAGATGAGTAACAACAGAGCAGAAAAGGCCCATTGGGGTAGCCTTCTTGAAGTAAAACAGCAATGGCTCACGATCATTATAAGGATTGATATCTGTGACATCTCTTACTGGAAGGAGAGCTGGTATGAAATATTTATCCTCTATTGGTGTAGCTATTGAGAGCTCAAGGAAAAGATTCAGCAATTTCGTTGCAATATCATTAACTTTTAGCTTTTCTGTGATGGGGTCAAGCTGTTTTTTACAAATCTCTTTAAACTTGGACTCTGAAAGGATCCCCTTTATAATGTCATCATCTCCAGCGTACACTTCTTTATTGGAGTGAACAACATGAACACGCCCAACCAACTCCTTGAGAATACCGATGAGACTGCCTATGTTAACAAACACCAGGTCACTGCAGGCTTTAGAAT